TGGCCAAAGGCTCCTCAATGACATTTGCCAACTCCCTCAGTACCCTAGGATGCATTAAGTCTGGACCCATGGATTTGTGTACATTTAGCTTTTCTAAATAGTTCCTAACCTGTTCTTTACCCACCATGGGCTGTCCATCTTCATCCCATCTTGCGTCACTTAGCGCATTAATCTGGGAGCCCACCTTGTCTGTGAATACAGAGGCAAAGAAAGCATCGAGTACTTCAGCTTTCCCCACATCATCTGTCACTAGGTTACCTCCTTCATCCAGTAGGGGCCGCACACCCTCTCTGATCACCACCTTCTTGTTAACATGCCTATAGAACCCTTTCTTATTATCCTTCACAGCCTTAGCTAGTCGCCATTCCATTTGCACTTTCGCCTTCTTGATAAGCCCCCGGCATTCTCGAGCTATATATTTAAACCTCTCCCTGGTCATTTGTCCAAGTTTCCACTTTTTGTAAGCTTCCTTTTTGTGCTTAAGTTCACCAAGGATTTCCCCTGTAAGCCAATCCGGTCTCCTACCATGTTTGCCTCTCTTGCTACGCGTCAGGATGGTTTCTTTCTGTGCCTTCAATAAGGCTTCTTTAAAATACTGCCAGCTGTCCTGGACTCCTTTCCCCTTCATGTTAGCATCCCATGCTATTCTGCCCATCAGATCTCTGAGGGAGTCAAAATCTGCTTTTCTGAAGTCCAGGATGTGTATTTTACTACACTCTTTTCTTCCTTTGGTCAGGATCTGAAATCTACCATCCAATGATCACTACTTCCCAGGTTGTCACCCACCTCTACTTCCTCTATTAGTTCCTCCCTGTTTGTGAGCAGGTCAAGCTGTGCATGGCCCCTGGTCGGATCCTTCAGCACTTGTGTCAAGTTGTGTCATGCACTCAAGTTCTTTACTGAGCATAATTCAGCTGGAGAATTGAGACATTTATCCTTTAACTCAGTTTTATCAGAAATGTTAGACAGATTGACCACACACTCTGCGGAATGCATTGTATTCATAAGAACTGCTGGAGCATGAGGTATCCATAGATTCATGTCCTAATTTTTTTGTTTTTTTTACTTGGATTTTAGGTTTGTGAATTTGCCCTGAATTTGACAAATGGAAACATACCTAGTGAACTGGTACCTATAGTTGTTCGACAACATATCATTGCTACCTGGGTGAAAGCAAAACAGTTACTACAGCAGCAAATTGGGCATAAACTTGGAACAGATGATGAGGTATAGATTCTGTGAAGTCTTATGCGAAAAATGAGTACATTAATATAGAAAACATGAGAATATGTACATTTTTGGAAGACAACATGGAAAATAAAATTTGGTTGCTACATTATCACATTACAAACACATCTATTTTTTTTTTGCATGGGATGAAGAAATTACTCTCTTAATTAGAATTTTATAACATATTCATTGTATAGTTGCTAATCTCTTTACTGAAACTGTTGGAGTTTTGATCTGATAGATGATATGAATGAAATGAAATTAGTTAAAATTTTCAAAATTGACATTTTTAGTAACACAATAAAAACAGTAGGTGAGCAGTTTTTGCAGTAGTTAAATGACCCTTGAATGCAAATCAGAGTTCTACATATCTGTAACCAAAAATAGATAAAATATATGCTTTACTGAATTTTTTATTTTATAATGTTTATACATCTTTGAAGTTTGGAATAAATGTGACATTTCTTGCTTCTCAGAATGATGATGGACAAAACCCAATCACAAAAGTTCTTGTGGCTTTGGAAATGTACTCATGTAATGGCTTGGGTCTCATGGACTTTACTGTTCTCAGTTTGTCTCAGGTATTTAGCTTTATTTTACTAAGTTTTTACTTTTGATAATATGCAGATCTACATACTGTAAATATTGCTGGTATGTTTCTGTAATCTGAGTTTTGTTTAGTTGGATACAAAATTATTTCTGTTGGGGAACTATACCGTTTTTATTTTTTTTAAAGTCGACATAATGATAATAACAATTAGTAAATTGACATCCCTGAAAATTAAATTTCAATATTCAACCACAAAATGGGTATAGTAAGAACAGTGGGAATGCAAGATTCCCCCTTCTATTTTACTAAATTGTTCTGGGAGCTGTCAGATTCTTTTAAAGGTGCATTCAACATTGGACCACACTTCTGGCACTTCAACTCAGCTTAACAATTTAACAGATGTTTAATACGAAAATACTGCTAAAAAGTTTACAAGATATTGCCCTCAGTTCGAACCTCATATTCTCGTAGGTTTCAGGCCTTCAAAAGGCACAGGTGGGTTTTCTTGTGGTTATAAGTTTTAGAACCAGAATCAAAACTGGGCACATCAGCCATTTTTTATACAGCTTAGACCTTTAATCATGGCTTTCTGTAATACATAATTGACAGACAATACCTCTTCTCAGGGCATAGTTTCAAAAGGCTGGGTTTCTGCATAATGAGTGTTAGTGAATTTGCATTATCCTTGCCATAGGGATTGCCTAGGAAATCCACTTAACACTTATTGTCGCAAAAGGCCATACGGTCTGGCACATTTTCAGTATAGTTACTTGAACTCCCAATCTCACATCTTCCCCCAGAGAGGTTACACATAATCACAGTCTATAATAATATATAAACTTAGTACAATAATAAAGTCTTTCAGGAATACTGTAAGAAATTAAGAACATAAGCATGGCCCTATTGTGTCAGACCTATGGTCCATTTAGCCCGGTATCCTGTCTTCTGACTGTGGCCATTGCCAGATGCTTCAGAGGTAATGAATGGAACAGGGCAATTTTGAATAATCTACCACCTGTTGTCTAATCCTAGCTTTTGGCAATTGAAACCTGAAACATGAGGTTGTGGACTGACCATTTTGGCTAATGCCTGTTTATGGAGATATCCTGCATGAATTTACCTAGTTTTTAACCTAGGTGTAGTTGGGATTACTTTTTCATTGGGTATTACTTTTTAACTTATCACTGGATTACGTTTTTAATTTTTCAGATTCCTTTGTGAGTAATTACAGTCATCTTTGGACTTAACTATCTTGAGAAGTTTTTCATCATTTACAAATTTTTTCGCCTTACCATTCATCCCTTTTTTAAAATCATTTTATGAATATGTTGAACAGCACAGGTACCAGTATAGAATCTTGAGAGACTCTTATGTTTACCACTCTCCATTGGGAAAACTATCCATTTATTCCTACCCTTTGTTTCCTGTCATGACCAGTAATGATCCATCAGAGGATCTTCCCTCTTAACCCAAGACTATTTAGTTTGTTTAAGAGCTTTTGGTGCAGAGGTCAATGGTTTTCTGAAATTTCAAGTACACTATATCCACTGGATCACCCTTGTCCACATGCCTCCCTTAAAACATTCTACTAGGCTGGTGAGGCATGATTTTCCTTTACAAAAGCCATGTTGACTCTATCCCAACATTACATGTTTATTGGTGTCAATTAATTTTGTTCTTTGTTATAGTTTTATTCGGTTTGTGGGGTACTGAAGTTAGGCTTACCAGCCTGTAATTGTGGGACTTTATTTAAAAATTGGAATTACATTAGCTATCTCCTATCATTTGGTACAGTGGCTGATTTAAGTGATAGTTATGTACCATAGTAAGTAGTTATGTTAGTAGAATTCAGAACTCTGGGGTAAATATCATCTTGTCCTGGGGACTTACTGCTCTTTAATTTATCACTTTGTTCCAAAAACTCCTCTATTGACATCTCAGTTCTTTGGATTTGTTACCTAGAAAGAATGGTGTAGATATAGAATATATTCTGCAGGGAATACTGATGTAAAAATTATTTTGTCTTCTCTCCAGTGGCCTTATCTTTTTTGAGTGCTCAATCACCCACCAAGAGTTGTACTTAAAATAATAATTGCTATTATTTTTTATTGCTAATAGCTAGTTACTCACAGTTTTTTCCTTCACTTGCCTTATATACTGTTACACTTGACGTTCAGAGGTTATACTTGTATTTATTTTCCCCATGGGACATTTTCCCAATTTGAGTTCATATTTTTAAAGGAAGCTTTTATGCCTCTAGCTACCTGGAGTATTAATGTGTTTTTTTAGCTATAGTTGCAATTTTTTTGGTACTTATTGTTTTGCTTTTTGTTTGGGGATAAACAGTTGTTTTGAATCTGTATTATGGTGTTTTTAAAATAATGTCCCTGAAGTTTGCAGGCATTTAACTCTTGTGACTTCTTCTTTTAATTTATGTTTTGCTAGCTCCCTCATTTTTTTAAAATAAATATTGTTCTGGTGGGTTTCTTTTGCATTTTTTCACCTACAAAGATGTTAAATGTAATTACATTATGGTTGTTGTTACTGAACAGCTGCTGCCATATCTGTTACACAGGTGTGTTTAATATTTTTATATCCTACTGTTTTGAGGTTTTTGAAAGGAGTGGTGTATATTTTCCCATATATTTGTAATCTTTTTGGGGAAGTTGAAATTTACTATTTATGAATCTGTTGAAATTATTTAAATCTTTAGCAGCTTGTTGTATCAACTGTCTCTAAAGATAGGATTCTCAGTAAGCATAAGTCCCTGCAGAGTACATGAGATCTTGGTATTGATGGATGAATTCCCAAATGCAGTTTCACAAACTAAAATGATTCCGCAGTGCTCTCTTCCCCCCGCCCCCCCAATCCTGACTAAATTTCTAAATTTTCCATGTACCAATCCAGCACCCAATTCAGTAATTTTCACTAAACTTTACTCAAATACCAGGACATTTAGGTTACCTGATCTATATGTTAAGAAGATCCTACTATCTAGAGAGATAATTTAGTCTATATATAAATATCCTTGCTATTTGCAGAAATGTTGCATACCAATAAAAATAATTTGAGCAAATTGTACCACAGATTCTCAGGCCCAGCTAAAAGTTCAAATGTTAATTCCATTAGTTTAAGAAAGAGAATATAATGTTAAATGCACCATTTAAAAAATCTGATTCCTCTTATTTGGCACTACAGTAATACATGTTTCAGTAAGTGAAAGAACTAAAAATACAGTTGGAAACCTCAGTTCTTGTGCTTGGCCTTCAGCACCAACTCCCAGTAGATGCCTTCCTTTTTAGAAAGTTCTGAGTCAATAAAGGGAGTACAGGAGTATGCCAACAGTGTTCTTCAAGAGCTATAATCATAAATAACCTTTCTTTCCCAATTCTAATTCTGTAGATTACATTCCACATTTTTTCTTTGGCTATAGTTATTAAAGTTTTGTTTGTGTATTGAACACTGTGTGTTTAATATTATACACGATGCAACGATAGATTATTCCAAAACCTACGTATCAGTGAAGTCTGATATCACCCAGGAGGATATAGAGGACCTGGAGGAGATCCAGGAGGATCTCCCTCTCCCACCAACTCACTTGTCTTCATCCTCTCCCAATGAATGAATCATGCCTCCACCAACAACTGGGGATGACTTCAAGTCCTTCCAGGACTTATTCAACAGGGATGTGGATTCGCTGGAAGTTCCTGAAGTCCAGAATAAACACAGATAGCTTTCACATCTGTGCCTCATCCAAGATAGCCCTCCCCATAAACGAGGTCATCTTGGACCCAGCTAGGATCATCAGCTAGATATAAAGGCAGATTCCAGCCTCTATATCTCCATTATCCAAAAGGGCGGATCTAATATATAAAGGAGAATGTTTGTATGTTTGTGGTCTAATAACTTGGACACTATAAGACCTACCACAAACTTTCCATGGGATAACCTTTCCTCCAGGAGAAGGTTGTAAGGTACTGTGGGAGGGAAGAGATGAGAAACCGGCGCCTCTCCCCGGGGCTGAACGGAGCTTGGCAGTGCGGGGAGAAGCGGCTTCCCCACCATTGCTGGAAGCATATGGAGGCCCCTCTTCAATATTGCGATTGGCTTGGGAACCAGGGGCTGACCAGTGGGTGGGGCGGATTGCTGCCGGGGCTCCCTCTAGGTGGAGGGGGCTGGGCTGGTGTTACTGCTCAACTGCTACTTTGAAAAAATGTCTGGAAGGAGGCACTTCGGGGACCCGGAGGTGAGATCTAGTGGGGGAGGAAATTAATGGGGGGGAGGGGCTGGACCGTTGGGAGTGAGTGGGGGGTAGGGAAGGATTGGGGGGCTGGATTGTTGGGAGGTGGGCTGGTCCAGGGGGGCTGGACCATTGGGGATGAGTGGAGGGAGGGCAGGATTGAAGGGGGATGAAGGAATTGGGGCTGGACAATCCTGCAGGGAATGAGTGAGAAATGAAGCCCATGGCGGGGGGCAAGGGTGGTCTCCACCCGGGGTTGCACCCTCCTCCCCTCGGGGGAATGACACGGACTTATATTTTAATCCCTATAGAAATCAGTGCAACTTTTCTACCATTCAAAAAAAGATAATGTTTTTCTACATTTTGTTCCTCTGGTTTCCCGAGCAACACCGGGTAACTTCAGCTAGTAAGAAATATGTGCCGAGTTCCTATTTACACATCTAACACCCAACTCCCTCATGGTGGAAGAAGTGCACACAAGGGGCAAACAGATCGACTTTAAGTCAACACCCTATGACAAGGACTGGAAGAGGCTGGATATATTGGGATGCAAAGCTTACTCAACCACATCCTTCAAATTTAAGGTTGCTAATTATTTGGCCCTTCTATAAAGATACAGATACAACCTTTTTGACAGAATGAAAACTTTTATTGAGCACGTCTCAGAGAAGTACAAGATCCCTTTCAAATCTAATCTTGGAGAGGTCACTCATAGCCAAGATGGCATTGCAGGCCTTCCTAGATTTGGCTGACACAGCATCTCATTCTTTGGCGATGGTATTGTGATGTGCAGGGCCTCTGAGTTACACTTTTCCGGGTTTCCTAAGAAAGTGCAAAATACAGTTGAGGATCCTCCTTTTGAAGGGAAAACCCTATTCTCCATCTCTACAGACACATGCCTACACATTCTGAAAGTTTCTAGGGCTACATTGAAGACTTTAGGCATGTATGTCCCAAAGCCCAAGAAGAAGCAGAGCTGCTTTTATACTCCTCAAGCTAGAACATCTGCTTATACCTCCCAACAGAGAGGTGCCACCAGAGGCAGCAGAAGAGAAGACATCCTCAAGATCAGTCCACTGCATCCCAGCCTCTAACCATGAGAGAGGCATTTTTAGGCATTGGTCAAAGGTTCGACATCTATTTTGCTACATGGCCAGCATCATTACAGTCTGCATCCATTCCATCAAGTCTGTTTGCACATAACATCCAACAAATGGGCTAATCTCCAAAGATTATATCATTCCTTTAATCTCCTTCAGTTCAACACAACCCCCCCCCCACACACACACACACTGTACCTCTTCAGGGAACCCTCTCACAGGACTCTCCTGCAACAGGAGACAGGGAGACAGACAGGCTTCTTGTAATGGGAGCAACAGAACCAGTGCCAGCTCCCCAAAGGAGAAAGCGGTTTTATTCCTGATACTTCTTAACTGAAAAAATCAGGAGTTTGGAGACCCATCTTGGACCTACGCAGACTGAACAGATACCTAAAGAAGCAACGCTTTACCATGGTAATGCTGGCAAAGATAATTCCATCTTTAGAAAAAGGAAACTGGATATCATCCTTTGACCTACAAGATACTTACTTTCACATTACAATCCATCTGTCACCCAGGAAGTTTCTCAGATTCAGCTTAAAAGACTGTCACTACTAATATTGTGTCCTTTTCGGGCTCACCTCAGTCCCAAGGATATTTTCATGGCAGTATCAATAGCTCACTTCCGAAGATTAGGAATGATAATCTTCCCATACCTGGATAACTGCCTCATAGTAGCTCCCACAGCTCAACTAACAACAGAATTCACAGCAAGGGCTATTAACTTATTCAGCACTCTGGGCCTGTGTAAATAAAGGTACAAAAGTCCCATCTGACTTCTACTTAGGAACTGGAATTCGTAGGTGTAATGTTGGATTGCATCCATGTACACGCCAGGCTTCTGCATCAATGCTTCCCGTCATTAGCTGTGTTAGCTCAAACCGTATAGCCCTACAATGTTGTCCAGGCAATGCCTAGAACTGCTCCGCTACATTTTGGCTACAGCCTATATGGTAACATTTGCCCTAGCCTCCAATGATGTTGCATATGTGTTGCCTTTAAGCATGGCTGAACACTTGCATCATCTGCACACAGAGCCGGCCCAAGCTACGAGCTGACCCGGCTACCGCCCGGGGCGCCCCATTGTAAGAGGTGCCACACTGGGCTGAGGGGCTGGGTGGGGGTGGGACCATGCATGCGCCGCGTGCCCGGGGGCAGAGCCGTGCATGCTCCACACTCCTGAGGCCCAGGGTGCATGAATGACTCAGGACGGCCCTGTCTGCACAAGATCCTGGGACCTCCAAAAAAGGTAAAAGAGTTTCTACATTAGAGGTTGTAGCCCCACAGCTTTTGCATGGAAGTACCATTCCAATGGATCCCTCCCTTCCATCACAATAACAGACACTTCTCTGGAGGTATGGGAAGCCCACCTTGAGGACTATAACATTCAGGGAAGATGGTCTCCACTGGAGGCAGCACTCCACATCAACATTCTGGAGCTCTCAGCAGCCAGACAGGAATGCAAATATTTCCTCTCTCTGATTTGCAATGAATCAGTAAGGCTCCTTAGGGACAACATGGCTTGCATGTTTTATATAAACTGGGAAGGAAGGGCCAGGTCTTATCATCTTTGCAGAGAGGTCACAGCTCTGTGACACTAATGCATCAAACATCACATGAACATTTATTTCGGCACTGTATCTCCCAGGAAAGCAAAATGTGATGGCAGACCACCTGAGCAGAAACTTTCTTCAGAAGTGCGAGTGTGGGATTCACCACAAAACTTACTTACCATATTCTAGAAGTGGGACTTTCTAGAAATAGACTTGTTTGCCCCATTTCACAATGTGAAATGCTCCAATTACTGTTCCAGGGCAGGCCTGGGCAAGAATGCCCTATGTGACACCCTGTTATTCAACTGGGTGGGCAAACTCATGTATGCTTTTCCATCAGTACCACTGTTCAACAAAGTCATTCAGCAAATAAAGCAAGACAGGACCCAAGTGATATTAGCGCATCCATATGGCCCATACAAATCTGGTTCCCTTTCCTATCACAGGTGGTCATAGCTCCTCCACTTCATCTCCCACAAGACCCAGACCTTCTGTCACAGGACAAGGGCTGAATCTTACATCCAAACATTCAGAGGTTATATCTCAAAGCCTGGCTTCTTCAGAGCTAATCGCGTCCAATTCCACCTTCTCAGAAGGTCTAGCAGTTAATCATGAATAGTCACAAGTTGAGCACAAGAAAAAATTATGCTCAAAAGTGGCAACCTTTCGTTCTATGGACCACATATAATTCATTATCACCGCTCTCAACACCTCTACCAAAGATGCTAGATTACCTGCTTTCCTTGAAGAAGCAGGGTGCCTCAAACTCCTCAGTTAAAGTTCACTTGGCTGCAGTTTTAAGCAAGCATTCACAGATAGAGGGACACAGAGTCTTTGCTCATCTGACTATGAAAAGGTTCTTGAAAGGACTCAACAATGTGTTCCCTCTGATTAGGCAAACACCACCTTCTTGGGAAATGAACCTCGTCTTACAACCTTGACAGGTCACCCCTTTGAACCAATGGTGACTTGTTCGCTTTCATCTCTCAATGAAAGTGGTTTTCTTCATTGCCCTCACCATGGTGAGAAGAGTTAGCAAGCTCACCATGCTTATGACCTACCCTCTTTTTACAGTATTTTATAAGGGCAAGGAGGTGCTCAGACTTCACCTGAAATTTCTACCCAAAGTGGTTTCTCAATTCCAATATACTTACCTGTTTTCTACCAGAAGCCTCATCCAGATGCCAATGCCACTCTTCTCCATTTCTTAGATGCCAGTCACACGATTGCCTTCTACGTAGAAAGAAGAAAGCAATTTAGACTAAACAGTTCTCCTAAACTGTTCCTATCCTTAGCAAATCACTCCAAGGGTCAAACCATTTCCAAACAAAGACTTTCTAAATGGGTTGTCTGCTGCATCCAAGATGTGCTACTCGATCAACAAAGTACCACTCCCAGATCAAATACGAGCTCACTCCACCAGAACAGTCACTGCCTCTACAGTTTTCCTTCAGAATGTCCCTATCACTGATATTTGTATGACTGCAACATGATCTTCCATGCATATCTTCACAAAACATTATGCCTTAGATAGGTATACCTAACTACACACTACATTTGGAGTGGCAGTTCTATCTGCTCCTCACAATATATATACGAAGCCCCTTCTTTCAAATTCTCAGGGTACTGCTCCATAGTTTCTTACAGTGAGCACCCACAGGGACACACCTCAAAGAAGAAAAAAGAGGTCACTCACCCTGTGCAGTAACTGGTGTTCTTTGAGATGGGTGTCACTGTGGGCGTTCCGCTGCCCTCCCTCCTTCCTTCTGCTCTGGAATCTTAACATCTCTCTGCGGTAAAGAAGGAAGTGGGGATGTTTGATGATGCATGCACGTTGGCATACTCGCTATGCTGTGAGACAGCACCATGCATGTGCATAGTCACCCAGGGCACAGGCACCCAGGGCATGTGCACAGGCTAAAAAGTTCCAATTTATAGGCGCTGGGGTGCTGAGACACCTACAGTGGAGTGCTCACAGGGACATCCATCTTGAAGAACACCAGTTACTGCACACAGTAAGTAACCTCTTTTTTAACTTTAGAATACTATATATACATTTTTAGAAAGTTCTGTTCATGGGCATAGAGAGAATTTGAATGAAAAAGGATGGTGGCTCTGTGAATCAGGGCTTGTCATATATACTGATCATGAGAGTCTTATTATATGTGGGGCAGTGTTAACAGGAAAAGAATTATGCAATCATACCTTTATATATGTTGTTTTCTTTGTGTCTTTTCAAAATTGGTAGGTGGCCCATATAAAATATTTAGTATCCTTGCATGCTGTGTATGAAAAGCAATTGACAATCAAAATGACAACATTAGCAAACATATTTCTTTTGCTATTATTTGCAGTTGGTGAAAATGACATTAGAATGCAACTGGCCAGATCCATTAGTAGAACTGCAGACATTGACAAGACTTACACATTTTGCATATGCATCACATGACCATGAAATAGTGATGACTTGTTCCCAAAGAGCCTTGCAATTAGATGATGCAGTTCTGTATGGTACAGATACGAAGAAACATGAAATGTAAGTGAATAGGATTTTCCTTTATAACATAAAATAACTTCAAAGCATTCAGTAAGATAGGTACATTTTTGTGACATAAAGAAAGAAACTTGTTTAAAGAGGAAAAAATATATTTGAGAGTAAAAGCTGATTCTTCCGTCCTGTACTCATTCTGTTGTGATTAGCACCCCCAGCACTGAGCATTGAGGGCTGGATGCAGCCTGAGGAAGGTTCAATGCAGGAAGCAGATTGAGTCCTTGACTCAGTTCAGGAAAACATGTAAATACATGTTAAAGGCCTATTGAAGTGAATCACTTGCTTAAAGTTTTACATGTGCTTAAGTGCTTACCTAAACTGGGGCCTCTAACATTCAGAGTCTTGTGCCTGCTTTCTCTTCATTCCAGGAAGAAGATAATCAGTGCTAAATTCTTCTAGTGATGCAGGATGGTGTCTTTGACTGCACTGGGTTTGATATATGGATGATGCAGTTTGAGAGTAGTGCCCAAACTGCCCCTCTCTGCTCATCCATTCCCTGCCTGCTTCTATGAGGAGAAAAGGAGGAGGAGTAGCCCAGTGGCAACTATGCTTTCTAGACATGGGTTCTGGAGATGGGCTCTTTATGTTCCTTTATTCTCCTCTGCAGTCATGCATCAGGCCCATGACTTAAACCTTGATTCTTTTATTTGTCATTTATTTTGCAGTTCCTAGGTATGATGAGAGTGTTAAAAAAGAGTTGTCTAAAAACTGGCTTTATATCTGGAATTATGACAACTTCCACACACTAAATTGAGGATCTGCTGATCAAGTCCTATTCTCCACAATGGCAGATCTTCAGATCTGTATGTGCAGCCCAAAAAGGGAAATGTGATTTGACCAAAAATTGATGAAAATAACCCATTTAATAACCCGTTTTTATCCTGTCAAGTAAAAAAGTAATTCTGGATAGAAAGATTAAATCTGACCTTAACTGGAAAAACATGTGCTATTTCTGCTCTGCATCCATTTACTAGGAAATAGACTTTCTACATTTTTTTCAAAACTTTCAGCTAAATGAGATATTTAAATATGTAAGGTGCTTGAATATCATAAAGAAAGACCCAGCTCTCTGAAAGCCTTTTAGTTCATAAAACAATTAATGGATAAAATATTTTCATCTTTGACACATAACTTTAGTCCAGGTTTATCATGCTTTTTCCTTTATAAATGAATGCAATACTCATTTTTCATTTTGTGCAAGGTAAAGAACATTAGAGTAAAATAGGGCTTTAAATTTGCTTTTTTTAAAGTATAAAAGTAAACTGTAGAACACTTGTGACATCTAGTGGTTATAATCATTATTACATGATAGTTTTTTATCTAAACTTTAGGTACTAGGCCAGGTGGATTAGGCAATGCAATAAAAATAAGTTTACTTCAAAATGTTTTATTTTTATTCTCACCTGTTCATACTGTTTGCTTTTTAAAAGTTTGAATAATATAGATACAACAGATTTTTTTTCCTGCAAAAAATGCATATATTACCATTTTTCTCTCAAAGCTTTGATAGCCAAACATCTCAGAATGGAGCATTTTTACCTGATTTCATTCTTTCCTGAAACTGACCTCTCCTTCATTCCACTCCATCCTGAATAAATTCATAGGGAGGGAGAAGATCAGAAGTGGACTTCTCTGAAGCCTTGTACATAATTCTGTTTACAGTTGGTAGCTAACTTTATCACTAACCAATTTCAGTGTTTTATAGACTCCTAGGACTAGAAGGGACCTCAAGAAACATATACAGGAAGTCCTCAGATTACAAATGGTTTGTGTTTCAAAAGTTCATATGTAGGAACTTAGAACACATTTTCCCATAGAAAGAATGTTATATATTTGCAATGGAAAAATAGAAAACAGTATTGTTACAATACCAGTAATTAAACAAAATAGAAAAACAGTAAAATTGTCTAATCTGAATGTTGGTGCTTGATGAAAGGCAGGTTTAATTAGAAGCGGATGAGGAGGTTGATGGCACTCAGACCCACTGACGGGGGTGGGGAGACAACAAAAGTGGCAATTGCCGCGAGACCTGGAGATTCAAAGGGGCCTTGAGCTCCGAGCTGCTGGTGCTGCTTCAACGGTAGCAGCATCAGCTGGAGCCACAGGTCCCTTTGGATTGCCACTAGAGTACCATTCCTCATGGCTCTGAAGGCTATGGGAGCACACCATGGTCTAGGCTACGTTAAGGGCTGACTGCCTAAGGCCTCATCCCTTCCAGCCAAGGCTTCATTCCTCCTGGGGGGCACAGATTCAGGGTTCCCCTACACCTTGTCCCAGGGCCCATGATGGCTGTTGGCCCCACTGATGGCACTGGTTCCTTTGGGGCACTTTTCCAAAAAAATGTTTGAAAAGAAGTCTGGATAGTTACCTTCTTTTTCTCAAGGTAAATTTCCTTGTAACATACGAGGGCATTTCTGACAGGTCTAGAATCATAGAACACTAGAACTGGAGGGGACCTCGAGAGATCATCAAATCCAGTCTCCTGCCCTTGTGGCAGGACCGAGCACCGTCTAGATGATGCGTGCTAGATGTCTGTCTAAACTGCTCTTAAATATCTCCAGTGTGGAGATTCCACAACTTCCCTAAGCAATTTATTCCAGTGTTTAACCACCATGATAGTTAGGATATTTTTCCTATGTCCAATCTAAACCTCCTGCTGCAGCTTAAGCCCATTGCTGCTTGTCCCATCATAAAAGGCCATTAATATAAATCAGGGGTTCCCAAACTTTTTGACACGGGGACCAGTAAATCCATTCATGAGCTTTTGGAGGACCGGTAACGTTCATGTGCATATTTGCATATTTATTAAGCAAATGATGAATATGCAAATAAGTTGTTTCTGGTCCTCCCAAAGCCCCCAGCGCCAGCTTTAGCAAAGCTTTTGATACGGTCACCCACAATATTCATGCCAACAAGTTAAGGGAATATGGATTGGATAAATGGACTGTACGAAGGATAGAAAGCTGGCTAGACCAGGGTTTCCTAAACTTTTTACTTTAATTGGAACCAATTTTTTTTCAGTAGTTTTTTGCAGCCCAAAAATATAAACGCATATAAAAAAAATGAATACATTTTCACTGTTTCACCTGGCTGCATCCTCCACCCAGCCCGGGATAGGGCTTGGGGTACCCGATGCTGCACGGGCACTCTGAGAGCCCAGAACACCCTGGCAGCCACGCTGAGGCCTGGTATTTTTTTCCCGCGGACCGGTAATGGGCCGCGGCCCATAGTTTGGGAAACGCTTATCTAAATTGTTGATGAAGATATTGAACAGAACCGGTCCCTAAAGAGACTCCTGCAGAACCCTACTTGTTATGCCCTTCCAGCATGACTGTGAACTAATAACTACTCTCTGAGAATGGCTATGCAGCCAGTTTTGCACCTACCTCATAGTATCCCCATTGAAGTTGTATTTGCTCAGTTGATTGATAAGAAGGCCATGTAAGACCATATCAAATGCCTTACTAAAGGAAACTGAGGTAAATCTTGAGGAGTTGGGGTCTTGCTGCTCAAGCACTGCCATTGCCCCCTCAATCATCCTGAAGGCCTCAGAAATTTTTTTTAGTTATGAAACTTTTGGGTGTGAGTATCTCAGCCAACATCTTTGCAACCTCTGCTTCTGCAGACCTCCTGCTTCCAATTACACAAGGTCATTTTTGGAGAGAACTTCTGCAGTGAGTCCAACAATTCTTCTATATCATCCACCTTCAGTTCAAGGTCAAGTTCCTTTCTCAGTTATATTTTCAGTGACATTCTTCAGAGTCTCCTCAAACCCCTTAAAATCATTAACAAACTGAGGACAAAGTTTTTGCCAAACACCATTCGTATTGGTCTCTGTGACTTCATGCCAATACTTCCCCGAGTTCTTTCTGCAACATAAAGGTTGTAACTACGCCTGAAATCTTTAAGGGTAGAAGCATCTTTCCTGTATGCAACTTAATTGCCTGGACAAAGGTTCTATAGCTGTAGTAAGCCTCAAATGACTTATAAATCTTTGGTCCATTGGCTGCAACAAGGAGGTTGTGTTAGGAGGTGGAAATACCACCTTGATGTCAGGATAAAAATCATCTAGGGAAATGAGGTGCCTTGGTCTGTTGTCTAACACAAGCAACATTTGAAGGGAACATCATTTTTGGCACAATGAAGTTTAACTTCATGCACAAAATGGAGAAAGACCCAGTCTTTAAAAATTGCCGAAGATACCCAAACCTTGTATTTCAACTTCCACACAACAGGTAGAAAAGCTTTCATTATACTCTTAAAGACTCTTGGTTTTCAGAATGGTAAAACAGGAGTGACTTAAACTTAAAATCCTTAGCAGCATTTCCTCCAAGCAAAAGATTTAAGAAGTCTTTTGCAGCTTTAAAGCCGGTCATTGTTTTCTCTTCTTTGGAGATGTATGTTCTCTCAGGTATCTTTTTCCAAGAGAGTTCAGTCTCCTCAACATTAAATACATGTTGGACTTCCCTCATCTAGCACCCTTGGGACCTGTCCACTCCCAAAAAGGGGATTTGCTGTACCAGGGAGGTCACTCCCAACATCACCCATGCTGAACTGCTGCTCCTGGCTCCAGCCTGACGTCTCTGCTACCTGCCTAGTCATGGCTCCCTAGGCTGGAGCTCCCTGGCTGCCATGGGGGTTGGAGCTCCACAGCTACGGCCAGGGCTACAGCTCTGTGACCACTGCCAGACCCTGAGCACCGGGACTGGAGCTCTGCAGCTGATGGACCCCACGTTCCATGGCTTCACAACTCCTGTAAACCTTATAGCTGAATTAAGCTATTTCAACTTCAGCTATGCAATTGACATAGTTGAAGTTGTGTATCTTAATTTGACTTTTGCCTTTCTGTGTAGATGTACCCTTAAGAACCAGAAAGGTAGAGTATAAAAAGTATAGAGTAAGTGAAGCTACACAGCATATTAGTTTAGTAATTTGGTATCTGATTATAAAAATCATATTTCATTTTTGGATTTTCTAGAACCTGAATATACAGGCAGTCCCCGGGTTACGTACAAGATAGGGACTGTAGGTTTGTTCTTAAGTGGAATCTGTATGTAAGTCGGAACTGGCGTCCAGATTCAGCCGCTGCTGAAACGGATCAGTTTCAACAGCGGCTGAATCTGGACACCAGTTCCGACTTACATACAGATTCAACTTAAGAAACCCAGCCGT